CTGAATAGCTGGGACCACAGGAGCGAGCCACCACGCCCAGCTAATTTTTTTTTTTTGTATTTTAGTAGAGATGGGGTTTCATCATGTTGGCCAGAACAGTCTCAATCTCCTAACCTTGTGATCCACCTGCCTCGGACTCACAAAGTACTGGGATTACAGGCGTGAACCGTCATGCCCGACCCTATTTATTTATTGAGATGGCATCTCACTCTATTGTCCAGGCTGGAGTAAGTGGTACAATCATGGCTCACTGCAATCTCTGCCTCCCAGGTTCAAGCAATTCTCCTGCCTCAGCCTCCTGAGTAGCTGGGATTAAAGGCATGCGTCACCACACCTGGCTAATTTTTGTATTTTTAGTAGAGATGGGGTTTCACTATGCTGATCTCTCTCCTGCCTCAGCCTCAGCCTCTAAAAGTGCTGGGATTATAGGTGTGAGCCACCATGCCCAGCCAAGGTTTTCCTTTTAATGAAAAGCAGCCCCAAATCATTTTCCTTTCTCACAAAGAGCAGTCTATAAAATAGAGTTGCAGACATAGATGCCGGCAGTTGTGCCAATCATGTTCAAAATGGTGGATCCATTTTCCCTTCTCTGCCAGCCACATACAGTAAGGAGCAGACAAGATGGCTCCAGCCATGGGGAAAATTCCTTTGCATAATAAGATTAGGGTGGTGATGCCAGCCTTCCCTGAAAGCTATGTAAACATCATACCTGATTGAACCAATCTGTGAGCCCTATGTAAATCAGACACCGTCAATAAATCACCAAAAAAAAACCTCAAAATGTTTTCAGAAAGTTCACGGATTTGTGTTGGGCTGCATTCAAAGCCATCTGGGGCTGCAAGTTGAACAAGCCTGCCCTAGTTAATAAGTGACATAAAAAGTTGGAGGAATGATGGCAGAAAAAAATTAAAAAGCTTAAGAGGGGCTATCAATTGAGGTCTTATAAGCCATGTAAAAATATCATTATTCATTGTTATCCATTGATTCTAGAATGTTCTGAGACATTGTCTCTTTGAATATTCCATTTCATTTTATTATCTGCTATTAAACCACTGTTGGAAATATCTTACCACCAGGCACAGTGGCTCCCTTCTGTAATCCCAGCACTTAGGGAGACAGAGGTGGGCAGATCACTTAAGCCCAGTTGTCTGAGACCAACCTAGGCAATGTGGCAAAACTCCGTCTCTACTAACAATCTGTAACACCTACTTCCTTGCTGATTCAACTCTGCATTTAACAGAATCTTTAGGCCAGGCACGGTGGCTCAGGCCTTTAATTCCAGCACTTTGGGAGGCCGAGGAGGGCAGATCACTTGAGGCCAAGAGTTTGAGACTATCCTGGGCAACATGGCAAAATCCCATCTCTACTAAAAATACAAACATTAGCTGGGCATGGTGGCACACACCTGTAATCCCAGTTACTTGGGAGGCTAAGGCAGGAGAATCGCTTGAACCCAGGAGGCCGAGATTGCAGTGAGCTGAGATCACACCGTTCCACTCCAGCCTGAGTGACAGCGGGAGACCCTGTCTCAAAAAAAAACAAAAAAGAAAAGAAAAGAAAGAAAGAAATATAGCAAAAACAAAAAGAAATCAGAATACAAAAAGGCTTTAGGAATCTTCCCTCAAAAGAAAATTCCTGCAAGAAAGATATGTTTCTTTTTAAAGGAAAAAAAAAATGTTTTCAGCCTGGGCAACATGGAGAGTCCCCATTTCTATAAAAACAATGTAAAAATTAGCTGGCTTTGGCCTGGACAGTGGCTCACACCTGTAATCTCTGCACTTTGAGAGGTCAATGCTGGCAAATCACCTGAGGTCAGGGGTTCGAGACCAGTCTGCCCAATATGGTGAAACCCTATCTGTAATAAATATACAAAAATTAGCTGGGTGTGGTGGCAGGCGTCCCATCAGGAGGCTGAGGCAGGAGAATCACTGGAACCCAGGAAGCAGAGGTTGCAATGAGCCAAGATCACACACTGTACTTTAGCCTGGGTAACAAGAGCAAAACTCCTGAAAAAAAAAAATTGACTGGGTGCAGTGGCTCACACCTATAATCCCAGCACATTGGGAGGCCGAGGCAGGCAGATCACCTGAGGTCAATGGACACAGTGGTGCACACCTGTGGTCCCAACTACATGGGAAGCTGAGGTGTGAGGATCGCTTAGGGGGACCTGGTGGCTGTAGTGAGCCGTGATCACGCCACTGTACTCCAGCCTATGCAACAGAACAAGACCTTGTCTAAAAGAAAAAGTTTAAAAATACTGTCTTGGTTTACATATAGAGAGAAATATGAAAAATTCACTGAAAACTGATACTTTTTTTCTGATACGGAATCTTGCTCTGTCACCCAGGCTGGAGTGCAATGACCCAATGTCGGCTCACTGCTACCTCCACCTCCTGGGTTCAAGCAATTCTCCTGCCTTGGCCTCCCAAGTAGCTGGGACTAAAGGCACATGCCACTCCAACCAGCTAATTTTTTGTATTTTTAGTAGGGATGGGGTTTCATTGTGTTAGCCAGGATGGTCTTGATCTCCCAACCTCAGGCCATTCGCCCGCCTCAGTCTCCCAAAGTGCTGGGATTGCAGGCATGAGCCACCGCGCCTGGCGAAGGATGATACTTTTTTTTTTTTTCTTTAGGCGGAGTTTCACTCCTGTTACCCAGGCTGGAGTGCAATGGCGCGATCTCGGCTCACCGCAACCTCCACCTCCTGGGTTCAAGCAATTCTCCTGCCTCAGCCTCCTGAGTAGCTGGGATTACAGGCACGCACCACCATGCCCAGCTAATGTTTTGTATTTTTAGTAGAGACGTGGTTTCACCATGTTGGCCAGGATGGTCTCGATCTCTTGACCTTGTGATCCACCCGCCTCGGCCTCCCAAAGTGCTGGATTACAGGCGTGAGCCACCACGCCCGGCTCTCGATGGTACTCTTAATACTATCATATTTGTACAGTGTTGTACTTCAATTTAAAGTAACTACAGTTGAGGTCATCAGAAAGTGCTGCATACATATGGGAGTAGCACTTGACCTTACACAGCTGACTCAACATTAGCTGTTGCAATGCAAGGACATACCTAGCTTCTGCTGAACATGCAGATATACTCAAAGTGCCATGGGCTTGCACAGTAAGGCTAGAGTTACAGATCTTTGCTTTCAGGTCAGTCCAATGGGGGAAGTAGGAAAGAGGAAGTAGGATTAAGACCATTTGGCAGCAGATAAAGAGTCTCTTCAGTAGTTAGGAATTCCTTATTAAACTTGAGAGTATAGACAAGATCGGTTCTCCACCTCCAAGCATCAGCAAGGACCCTTTTGTATCTGGACACCTTCCATCTCAAAGTATGGCTCACATATCAAATATTGTGATATGGACTCAGGCCAGGCTGATGCTATGGCCGCGTTGAATTACTTGACCCAGCTCTTCTTACCTGCAGTTGCTAGAACTGAAATGCTTTCATGAGGTCAGTGAAAGGATCATGTAGGTATTAAATTATTCCTAGTGATTTTATTAAAACTGCAGTACAACAAAGAGCATATTCTTGCTTTTACACTACAGAGAGGTGGGAAAAACAGTGGACTAAAAATCTCACATCTCTTATACAAGAATGTTTATGTAATCCCAGCGCTTTGGGAGGCCGAGGCGGGTGGATAACGAGGTCAGGAGTAAAACAATTAGCTGGGTGTGGTGGCGGGTGCCTCTAATCCCAGCTACTTGGGAAGTTGAAGCAAGAATTGCTTGAACCTGGGAGGCAGAGGTTGCAGTGAGCCAAGATTGCACCATTGCACTCCATCCCTAGCAACAGTGCGAGACTCCATCTGAAAACAATAAAAAACAATGTTCACAAAAAAAAGAAAAAAATAATGAATTAAAAAAGAATGTTCATAGCAGCTCCATTCACAATGGCCAACATCTGGAAATAACCCCAATGTCCATCAACAGATGAATAGATAAATAGATCATGGTATAGCCTTACAATAAAATAATGTTCAGGGCTGGGCACGGTGGCTGACGCCTGTTAATCCCTCGGCACTTTGAGAGGCCAAGGCAGGTGGATCACCTGAGGTCAGGAGTTCCAGACCAGTCTGGCCAACATGGTGAAACTTCATCTCTACTAAAAATACAAAATTTAGCCGGGCGTGGTGGCACATGCCTTTAATTCCAGTTACTTGGGAGGCTGAGGCAAAAGAATCATTTGAACCCAGAAGGTAGAGGTTGCAGTGAGCAGAGATTACAACACTGCCCTCCAGCCTGGGCAACAAGACTGAAACTCTGTTTCAAAAATAAAATAAAATAGGGCCGGGCATGGTGGTTCACATCTGTAATCCAGCACTTTGGGAAGCCGAGGTGGGTGGATCACCTGAGGTCTGGTGTTTGAGACCAGCCTGGCCAACATGGTAAAACACCATCTCTACTAAAAATACAAAAAATTAGCCAGGTGTGGTGGCGGGCACCTGTAATTCCAGCTACTCGAGAGGCTGAGGCAGGAGAATCACTTGAACCCGGAGGGGCGGAGGTTACGGTGAGCCGAGATCGGGCCATTGCACTCCAGCCTGGGCAACAAGAGCAACACTCTATCTTAAAAAAAATAAATTAAATAATGTTCAGGAACAAATGCCTACAAATACAACAGCATGGATGAAATCTGAAAACATAAGTTTTTTTTGTTTTTGTTTTTTTGTTTTTTTGTTTTTTTTTTTATGGAGTCTTGCTCTGTCGCCCAGGTTGGAGTGCAATGGTGTGATCTCAGCTCACTGCAACCTCCATCTCCCAGGTTCGCGCAATTCTTCTGTCTCAGTCTCCTGAGTAGCTGGGATTATATGCGGGAATCACCACGCCCAGCTAATTGATTTTTATTTTTATTAGAGACCGGGTTTCACCATGTTGGCCAGGCTGGTCTGGAACTCCTGACCTTAGGTGATCCCCACACGTCAGCCTCCCAAAGTGCTGGGATTACAGATGTGAGCCACTGTACCCTGCCCACATTATGCTAAGTTTTAAAAGCGTTATGCATGGGTCTGGATTTATGACAGGCCCATCCCCCTAGGCCTGTCATAGTAACCCATGCCAGAGCAAACCGTGTCCCCAAACCATTGCCTGGCCTCTGTGCCCATAGGCTGCTGGCACTGAAGTGGGTTGCACAGTGGAAAAAGAATAATAAAAGCCTTACACAAAAGCACATATGTTGTATACTCTTTAAATTTCACTTAACCAGTCAGTTCTCCTTATCCATAGGTTCCTCACCCATAGATTCAACCAACCACATATAAAATATATTCAAACTGACCGTGATGGCTCACGCCAGTAATCCCAGCACTTTGGGAGGCTGAGGTGGGTGGCCTGAGGTCGGGAGTTGGAGACCAGCCTGACCAACATGGAGAAACCCCGTCTCTACTAAAAATACAAAATTAGCCGGGCTTGGTGGTGCATGCTTGTAATCCCAGCTACTCATGAGGCTGAGGCAGGAGACTCTCTTGGACTCAGGAGGCGGAGGTTGCAGTGAGTCGAGATCCCACCATTGCACTCCAGCCTGGGCAACAAGAGTGAAATTCCATCTCAAAAAAAAACACAAAAAACATTTAGGAAAAAAAACAATAAAGCAGCTGGGCATGGTGGTTCAGACCTGTAATCCCAGCATTTTGGGAGGCTGAGGCATGTGGATTGCTTGAGCCCAGGAGTTTCAGAACAGCCTGGCAAACATGGCAAAAACCCATCTCTACAAAAAAAAAACAAAGAGTAGCTGGACCTGGTGGCCCGAGCCTGTGGTCCCAGCTACTGGGGAGGCTGAGGTGGTAAGATCACTGGAGCCTGGGAAGTTGAGCAAGACCCTGTCTCAAAAAATTAAAGTTGGTCGGGTGTAGTGGCTCACATCTGTAATCCCAGAACTTTGGGAGGCCAAGGCAGGTGGATCACGAGGTCAGGAGGAACATGCAACAAGAAGGAAACTCCGTCTCGAAATAAAAGTTAAGTTTCTTTCTATTTTTCTTTATTTTTAATTTTAATCTTTATTTATTTATTTATTTATTTGAGACAGTCTCACCCTCTCACCCCGGCTGGAGTGCAATGGCATGATCTCTGCTCACTGAAACCTTTGCTTCCCAGGTTCAAGGGATCCTTGTATTCCTCATGCCTCAGCCTCCAGAGTAGCCGGGATTACAGGCATCTGCCACCACACCCAGCTAACTTTTTGTTTTGTTTTGTTTTGTTTTTGTTTTTTTCCTTTTTTTCCTATTGCTTTGAGCAAAGCTTTTTTTTTTTTTTTTTTTTTTTTTTTTTTTTTTTTTTTTTT